AATTTTTCTAATTTTTCTAATTTTTCTAATTTTTCTCTTAAAATCTTTAGTTATACTAGTAAAAGAGTTGCTATTGTTATATGCCGTTGCTCTTGCTGCTGTCTCTTTTGCCTATACTCATCACACCCTGGCGGTAGCATATCAGCAGGCCGCTTCCTAGGAATAGGATGCCCCTGCCGCACACGTACGTGGTCAAAGTCAATCTTCATGACCCGACCGGCGCTGGCACACCATGTAAGATTCCCATTGCTCGTGTCGTCGTCGTCTTCAACTCCCAACGCCTGCAGCTCCTCAAGCGTACGGCTCGCCTCCGCATCCACATCCACCTGGCGCGCCTCAAGCCGCCGGCGCAACGTGGGTGAGTAGAGCGGGGTGCCGGCGTGCGAGAGCAGCAGCATGTGCGTAATGAGCTTTGAGTTGGTCATGGGATACGGCAGCCGCAGTTCCACCACGCCGATGCACACAGGGATCAGGATGCCCTGCTGCACCGCGAGCTTCTTATACACTGCAGCCTCATGCCGAATCCGATGCGCGTGAAACGTCTGCACCCCCTTGGCAGCCAGGGTGTAGCCAAAACCCGTCACAGTTAGCCGGAAGAGACAGCCAATGGCGCCATTTAGACCGTGGCTAAGGAGGCACTCGCAGTCCTGCTCTACATTGTTGAGCAGCTGCAGCTGCACCAGCTCTACGAGCTTCGAAGGCCCGATGGGGTGGCGGGCGCGGTCTGCCGCCGGGCCTCCAATCCGCCGGGCTGCTTCCAAATGCAGGAGGACATTCGGGCAGTCATGGTCAACGATACCATCTCCCTGAGCCAGACTCCGTAGACATAAATGTGTGCAGTATGGCCGCATTGGCTTAAATGATGCTGGATCAAAGGGGCTAGGCCTCGATGGAAGGCAGCGGCCACGCCCAGGCTGTGAGCCATTGGCGAATCGTGCGTGAGAGGCTGCTGCGTTGGCGTCGGCGTCAGCGTTCGATGGTTGCTGCCCGGGCGTCGACGACTGCTTTTTAAGAGGCGAGGGGTTCCGAGGCCGATGTGTCATACTACGTCCACGCCGGTCGCTGTCATCAACGTCATCATCGTCGTCGTCGTCGCCTGTTTCGTCACGCCGTCGCCGTCTGCGTTCACTGCTGCTATCGCGACTTGGTGGGCTAGTCGGAGACAACGCTGCCGAGTCATCACTCGGTGGCTTCGGTAGGTTAGGAAACTCGGCCAGTTGCGAAAGGTGGATATTGATTTGCCGCGGCGGGGCCTTAGGTGATTCATACGCGAGGAGAGCCAGAGCGCAGAGCTTGGCAATGGCCAGCTCATCAACATTAAATGCCGCGTCGTCGGAAACTGTGCTAGGTTCATCTGAGCTTGGCCCTGCCGCGCAACAATACTGTGGAAAGACTTGCGTATAGTATAGCAGCGTGGTCGGGTCATCGCGCGGAATGCGTAGAAACGAGAGGCTCTCGCCAGCGGCCATGTAGCCAAACTCGAGCCCAGAAATCACCATGTAGTGAAAGGTTTGTGCTAGCGCGTAGGCAAAGAAGATCCGGCCCGGGATGTTGGTCGACGGCGTTGACTCGGCTGGGTTGGTCGTATTCTGGCTAGTCACGCCTGGCACAACCTGCTTCGACGAGGCTTTCCGCGCCAGCCGCACCATGAAATCGTCGGCCATGGTGTCTTTCAAGAACCGAGATACTATCGCTGCGCGGAGCCGGTGAAAAGCCTTGTGCTCGCCGACTGTTACACGTATAACATCGCGTGTGGCAGCCTTCCCGTCGTTGTCGCTATAACGATCGAAGGGAGCCACCAGGCTGGCTCCTGTCGAGACCATCTCCGGGCGGAGGACCAAGCAGTCGGGCTGAATTTTCTTGGGACGCTGACTGATCTTAGGCTCGGCTGGGCCGCTGTTCTGGCCTGTGCAGTCCTCAGCTGTTCTGGCGCTGACACTGGTGTCGCCGCCATTGCGCGCCTGCCAGCCGGCCGAGTGGCAGTCGAAATACAACGGCGGCTTGTTCCCGCTTGTGTTGAGGTATGCATTTATAATACGCTGCACAGGCCGCTCCAGCGTCTCGTGCAGAAAAAGGGACGACCTGCTCGCGCTTAGAAACGCCTCGGACTCCACGAAGCTACTGGGTATTTCCTCGAGCAGGCTCTTTTCACAGAAATTGACCTCAGCAGCTGACGGGAAAAGCGGCCGCGTGCCAAGCTCGCTTCGGATACGGTGAAATTGTTGTTGACAAAGGTCTGGGAAGTCGGTCCACTCGCGCATGTGCAGAGGGTAGTACTTGTTTTTAATATCGGTTCGGCCTTGCGTGGTTGACTTGGACGGGTGACCTTCTGATAGCGTCGTTATTGTCTTTTTGAGCGGTGGTAGGAGGCGCGGCATATGGTAATTTAGTCGGTGGACGCGCTTCAAGTAGTCCTCGAGTGGTTGGTCTTAGAGAGTTAGTCTACTACAACGCTCGACGTTAGATAGATTGGCTTACCGAGAGTGGTCCTTGTGCGCTCCTCCTGTTCTCGCAGTAGTGCGGCTTTCATGGCTGCCGTGTTCTGTTCTGCCTGCTCGCGTAGACGCTTCTCCTCATCAGCCCGACGCTTCTCCTCATCAGCCCGACGCTTTTCCTTATCGGCCCGGTGCGTCTGCTCCTCGAGCGCTCTCTTAAGTTGCCGAATTTCGTCCGACATGGTATTGATCACGTAGTTGCAGGATCTGTATTTACGTGTGTGTTAATTAAGGAGAGAGACCTAGTAGCCGGACCAGACTCTTTGTTGGTAGGTAGACAGACTGTCCACGTGGCTACCCCTAGCAGTACTCGTACCACACCCCACTCTATAGATAGTAAGGTACTAAATAGCTATATAGCCACTTAAGCTATATAAATACTAAGAACTAAAAGGTAGTAATAAAGATAGCTAAAGATATATAATATATAAAACTTAATAAAGAATTATAAAAAAAAAATATTTAAAATATATTTAAATTTAATATTTTTTTTAAAAAAGTATTTTTCTTAAAAAATATAATATAATAAGTAAAGAATATTATTAATATAAAAGCTTTTTATAAAAAATATATAAATTAATAAAAAAAATAATCTAAATAATCTAAAAAGTAATAAAAATATTAAAAAGAGGTTTAAGCTTAGGTTTAATAAACTAACTATAAAAAAAGATTAACTTAAAAGAAAAAAAAGTAAATTAGCTAATAAAGGTAAATTTATAAATATATATATTAATACTATATAAATAATATATATAATAAAAAGTTAATAAATAAATATAAAAAGATATTATATAGTTTCTTTATTAAGAATAAATATTTTAATTTATATATATACTTATTATTAAGTTATAAATTCTATATTATTATTATTATATTTAAGTTAAAGTTAAAATAATCTTATAAATAGATAAAAAGAATAATAACTATAATTATAATATTAGTTATAGTATTATATTACTTTTATTTATACTTTATAATATAAATAAAGTAATTAATTAAAAATTAAAATAAAACTAATTAGAATCTTATATAGTATAATATTAATACTTATTAGATAATATTCTTAGTTAGATTTTTATTAAAATATTAATTTTAGTTAAGTAAATAAATAAGTTAAGTTATTATTAAATAGTATAATAATTAATATTAATAGTAATAAAAAATAAAAAGTAGAGTAAGTAAGTATTTTTATTATCTTTTAAGTAATATTTTTATTAAAGAATAATAAAAATACTATTTATAAAATTCTATAAAATAACTATTATCTAAACTAAAATTTAAAAGTAATAAGTTATTATAAACTATAGCTTATAAAGAAAGAATAAGAAAAGTATTAAAAGTAAAAATAACTCTACTTATAATCTTACTATTAATACTAATAATAATAAATTATAATAAAAGTAGTTTTTAACTTAAATATTTATATTATATAAGATTTTATAATATAAAAAGAAATAATTACTAATATTAAACCTTAAGTATAGAATTTTATAATATAAAGAGAAGTAATTATTAATATTAAACCTTAAATATAAAATTATTTAATATAGAAAAAAGTAATTATTAATATTAAACCCTAAGTATATACTCTATAAACTAATAATCTAATATTAATCTATTATAACTAACTATTAATTAACTATATTCTTAAAGCTATTCTAAATATAAATAATAGTAATTAAACTATATTAGTAGTTAGGGTAAAAGGTTAGAAAAAATAGGGTTTTTTTAAACTAAAGTTATTTACTAGTAAATAAACTTAAAGTTATCTACTAATAAATAAACTTAAAGTTATCTACTAATAAATAAACTTAAATATTAAAGCTAAAGTTATTTACTAGTAAATAAACTTAAGTTAAGTTAAAGTTATTTACTAATAAATAAGCCTAAGTTAAACTAAAGTTATT